AGGAAAATGAGGCTTAGAGAGACTAAATAGGATCATTATGGCACTCAGTGACAGTCTAGACACCAAGCTTGTCACCATTACTTTATCCTACTTTATCATGTCAAATATTTTACAACAAACATTCATTAATCACCGGAAACACTCCAGCACTAGGCTATAGTCGAGAGTGATTATAATAAATTATTAAATTGTATTGTTCTACAATGAGGGCATAGAAATGTAAAATGTGTAGATCAAGTGCAAATTAAAATACACTGTGACAAGTTATTACAAAAGATATGGTGGCTTTTGCATAGAGAGGAGTTAATCCACCTGGAAAAATCCTAAAAAATCTGTTCTTTGAAGTGCAACAGCCTGATTCTGCTACTTATAGAGCTTAGTAACTGTAGACAAATTATTTAACTTCTCTGTACCTCAAATATATCATCAGTACAACAGGTATTATAATATGTAATAATAAATAGTAATACCTCTTTCAAAGGTTCTTGAGAATCCTTGATGGCCATATATAATGTAATTAATAAATGTTATTGTAGTATTTATTAATATGATTACCTTTATGATTATGGAAGACACCCTCAGAGGAACTGATATGCAAGTTCGGTTTTGAAATAAAATTTGCTGAGTAAAGAGTACTAAGGTAAACATGGTAGCTTCTCTCCTCATGTTGCTCAGCATGTGGTTGGGTAGTTGGATCCTTGCCTCCATTTCTCAGCTTTTTATTGCAATTTACAAGTTATACTTTTATTGAAATAGTTAAAATATCGCTACCATTGAAAAGAGAAAGAAAAAACCTAAGGTCACACTCAACTTAAAATATTTATTCCTTTTCATATGATCTTTTGGATGAGACAGCCTAGGATCTAGAAATTTTTAAAGACAAAGAACATTCAACCTAATAGACAGCCTACCGCAATATAGTTGCTCAACAAATACTTGTAGGATGGATGAATGCTAGCATCTGAGCCGAGGTACTGTTGACTCTTACAGATTACACTCACCTCCACTTTAATATCATTCTCTAACTCTGCATCAAGGAAATCCAATGTTACTGGCTCCTGAGATTTGGGGTTCTACATAGAAAACAATAATAATTAAGTACATACAACATTATAAAATGATGCTGTGTACAAACAATTCAGTGGATATCAGTGAAATTAATTCTGTAAAAACTACTTACCTAAGAACATAAAAATTACTTTATGTATTAATAATTGTATAAAGGTATCTTCTTTCACATATATATGAAACTAAATAGCCAGAGCTAGAGATTGCGCTTTTAAGTTCAGCAATTTTTAAATTAATTGTCGACTGAAGATAGACTAATTTTGAGTGCTGTGTTAGATACTGCACTTACAAATCAGAAGTTCTCTGGGACTATGACTTTTGAAAATCCATTCACAATTTTCTTTTCTTAGCATGGAAAAAGGGCAAAATAAAGCCACTTGGGTAACTTATTTGGCAATAAAATAAAGGCAACATAAAAGCATACTTTTTATTTGTATTCTATGAAGAAATAAATTGTATTCGAAAATGCTTGAAAACTATGTTTGGATTTGTTAAGTAAAACAAACTCTTTTAAACCCATTCTTCCTTCTGAAAATGCCTAATGGAAAGATGTAAGTTTGCTTCATATATTTCTATCTCAGAAATTTTATGAGCTAT